CCCCAAAACCCCAAAACCCCAAAACCCCATTAGAGTATAAATTGAACAATTTTGTCATTATATAATAAAATAAATAGATTGATCAATATTAGTCGCAATAATGCAGAGATTAAAAGAGTTTATAGGAATTTCATCTAGCGATCAAATTAACGAAGCATCTGAATGGGTTTATGAGTATTGCTTTTCAAACGATAAAGCAACTGGCCCTTACACTTTAGATCAGCTTGTTAGATCTGGAGATAGATTCCAGGGTAGAGGTAAAGATGAAGGAAAGAGAGATTTCGAATTCATCGGTGAAATTCAGGGAGACTAGTTCAAGATTAAGCAAGTACATAGCGCTGCAAAGGCTTAAGACAAGATTATTGAAGGACATATAAAATAAGAAGGAACCCTTGTGGGAAAATGGTGTTATGCTTAAGATGGAAAATCTGCTAAAAGCAAAGGAGATTTTGTCATTAGGGTAAGATATATTTATGGAAAAAATCTTAATAATATTTTAGAAAGTCAGCAACTTTGTTTTCGCATTATCTGATAAATGCCCCGAATATCTAAAACTTTCAATGGAAAATATACCTTGTAAATGTAATAGTAAGCTAAGCAAGTATGATGCAATTCAAGATTAAGGATTGAAATGTTCACTTTGTACATCTGAGATTCAAATAGCTTACTATACATGTGGAAAGTGCACTTTCTTGATTTGCTATCAATGCTTCTTCAAAATTCAATATATGTAAAAATCAGAACTCATCTCAATCATCTTAAATCATTCGTAAAAGAAAGATGTAACCGAAAATGCCGAATATATTAGAGGAATATACAGAAAAGTATTTTGTGACGATGAGAGAGCTAAGAGCTCAGTTATGAAACGTAAAGGCAGAGATTACAGATGGTTTGAAGTTTACTATTTAGATGAGAACAGCTTAGAATTCAAAAGAAAGGAAAATATTGAGCTCTATATTGATCAGCAAAAGTTTGCTGAAGGGCATTTCCATGAGGTCAAGCTTTGTAAACAGAGCAGAAGAATAGATGAAATAAGAAATCCAAATGAATAGCCAATTTACAGAGAAATCGATCTTAATCCAGAAGTTAACTGGGCAATCAAATAAGTAAAGAAAAAAGAGCATATGGATGAGGTTCCTAATGACATTGCCAAGCAATATTTGGCTAAAACTCTTGCGGATAATTTCAATATATTGCTGAAAACTATTTATCCAAAGGAAACAGTCTACATGATGTACATATAGCCATTTATCGTGCTACCTTTATTTGAAATACCAGAGCATCATTACTTTTTTGAAATGGAGAGCTTTATGGAGACTGATAAGAAATTCCTTTACTTTAACAGGCCAGGTTAGGAGCTCAAAGTTGTTGATGAGAAACTTGGCTAGGCTAGATTGCCTAGCGCGTTTACTCATTGGACATATGCAGCTTCTGGAAAAAGATTCATGATCACTGATGTCCAAGGATGGAGAATTGACAAAGGCTAATACATTCTAACTGATCCAATAGTGTTTTCACCAGTCCCAGATTAGTTAGGCTTGGTCGACTGGGGTTCTGATGGTATGGAAAGTTGGATGAAAAAACACGTTTGCAATGATGTCTGCAAAGATGTTCCAATGGTTGAAGACTAAAATTTGATTAATTAATGCTTGGGCTACATGGAAAAATTCAAAAGTAAAAACGAGAGCTTTTATAAGCAACTTGAAGTCATTTTAGGTGGCCTTAACTGAAACCCTTTATAGTAAAACATATCTAAATTTAACTAAACCGCAACATTTATTCATTTTCATAAAAATATTCTCTTTATAAAATATTTGTTGCTCTATGGGGTTTTGGGGTTTTGGGGTTTTGGGGTTTTGGGG